CGCATCGTCAAACCCTAAACCTAGGAGACCTTTCAGCTTCCGCCATGCATGACTCTTTCAGCCGCCACCATTCTTCGTTCATTGTTCCGATCAGACAAGCCGCCTAGCGGCCACCTTGCCATCGAAGCGCCACCACCACAAACTTGTTGTCGGAGATTTTGTGTGCAACCGAAGAACCGCCGAGACCGGTGAAGCAAGTCGTGTTCGTCGTTGTGCGAGTCGTGAGCGAAAAGGAAGCCCTCGTTAAGAATGATCGTCGCCCACTTTCTTTCTTCTTCTTCGTTTTTTGTGGGTGGGAGGTCATGGGGTGTCGCTGCTACCGCCGGTGACCTTTTGGCCACCGTTTCTGTCTATTTCAGTGACGACAGCCACGTGAGAGGTGGCTGAATATGAGTATGATTGAGTATATTGGTTGTTTTCGGTATTTGTGGTGTAGTATGCGAATTATTTGGCCGAAAACCCACCGCCACCACCACGAGGTGGTGGTTGCCACCGGTTGCTGCCGCCTGTCGCCGCGGGGTGGTTATATGTGTGTGATTAGATGTGTATGAGTGTTTTTCCTATTTGATTGGGATGTTGATTGGGTGTTTTGGCCGGAGAAAATCCAAGGAAAACCCCCACCACCACCGTGAGGTGGTGGTTGCCGTCGTGAGCTGCCATCGACCACCACTGCGCGAGGTGGCAATGGGTGGTTCCCGTCCTAGTAAAGCTTAAATCAGCCAAAAAACATAACCATTGGGACTAATTGACTTGTGTTTGGGTTGGAACCCCTAATTAGGGTTTAGAAAACCCTAATCTTGGAGATTTTAATTTAGACTTGTCGGGACCCGCATTTTGGACCATTGGATTGGAATTATGAATTAAGCCCGACTACATTGTATGAATGGCCTAGTGAAGTGATGGACTTAATGGATTAAGTCCTTAATGAGTTAAGTGTTTTTACTTAACCCTAATCATCATTTTATGTGAAAACCCTAATTTTGTTTGGGCCTTGAGTTGGGCCTTTCTGTTAGGCTTTGGTGATTGGGCTATTGATGGGCCATCCAAGAACAAGTATATGGACTAGAATATAGTTAGTCCTTAAGGTAAGACCATGTGAGGGGTTTGGGCCCAATTTGGAAAGATGGGCCATATGTTGGGCCTTGATTTATTATTTGGCATTTGGGCCTCCATAGTTTGAGTTTGGGCCTTGGCTTTGGACCAAGCTAGGTTAGGGGTAAAATGGTCTTTTTACCCCAAGTATGGAATTTTGGGTATGCATTGAAACCCAAATGGTTAATTAGGTTTTGTTTTGATGTTGACAGTTCGGGGGTCTGTCAGTCAGCAGCCAGAGATTTATTCGCAGGACTTCAGCAGTGCGAGGTGAGTCTCCTAACTGTTTGTATGGGTCTAAGGCACCAATTCCGGCCCATTAAGTTTATGCATGGTAGGAAGACCCGTGGTTTAACCCTAGGCATTATGTACGAAAGACCAGGAGGCGGCTCCTGCCACACTATATGCTAATTAGCTAAGTAGAGTAGTATGTATGCTAGTTGTTTTTGTGATGCTTGCGTGGAAGACCAGGAGGTGGCTCTTAGCACTTGTCAATAAGACCCAGGAGGTGGCTCCCGGCATGGCAAGAAAGACCACGTGGCGGCCCGTGGCATAATGGCAAGACTATGTTTTGGCACATAGCATTTTATTTGATTATGGTATATGAATGATATGTATGGCTCATGGTTATGTATGACGGGTATGTGATTTATGTGCTTATGTGCTAGACAGTATCCGGTTGAAAGAGACCGAAGGGGTAGGCCATCACCCAGATATGATAGGCAGTATGTTGATGTGTATGGTATGTGGTATTTGGGGAACTCACTAAGCTTCGTGCTTACGGTTTTCAGTTTTGGTTTCAGGTACTTCGTTTTCAAAGGAAAGGAGCCGGCAATTGCAGCGCATCACACTATGTTTTACGCACATGAGATCTTTGGGATTACACTCTGATATTGCTTTATGATAACATGTTCTGATTATTGACACTTTGGTTTTGACATGGGATGTTATTATGGATGTTTTTTATATTGTTGGTTTTATAATAACATAATTATAAATGAAATTTTTGGTCTTAAATTTTGGGATGTTACATCCTACTCCATAAAACCAAGGTATTAGGACAAAAGCATAACAAATCATGAGCTAACCTAAGATCTATCAAAAGGAAGCATAAAACTCAAACTCTATACCTTCAAAGGCTGAAAAATGTAAGGTAGACCCTGGATCTTCAACCTTGAGCTTCACCAACTCCAAAAGTGGACTCCTCATTCTTCAAGATACACCATAAAACACAAAAAGAGGCTCAAAACTTGCTCAATGATATTAAGGTTTCGAAATGACTGATTGGGAGAGTGGAGGCTGAGGTTAGAGAGGGCCTCAAGGGACTTAAGGTCCTTAAATAGGGTCACAACCCTAAAAATTTGAGTTTGGATCCTGCGCACCTATGTCCTGCGTAGGGCATTAAGTCCCCGTGTTCTTAATCCCTCATACGCCCTGCGTAGTAAGCAATCATACGCCTTGCGTAGGATCATTTTTGCAAAATAATTTATTACGTAATTTAAAAAGGTAAATACCTGGGAAACAGATGTTATAGTATCTATTTGACAACCGCCTTTCATTTTTCTAATAGTAAAATCTATGTAAACATGATGATCCGTATATGAGAAGTTATGTCCTGAAGATCTGAATTTTTTCACTAATTGCTGTAAGGTAAATATGATTTTAATATCTATTAAGTCCTTATGATATTTATTCAAGTTCAAGAAAAATTGATCCTTTTTGAAATATAACTCGAAATATGTTCTTGAATCATATTGAAAATTGCCAAATTGTTTATTATTTATAGGAACTTGAGGACCCCATTGTTCTAATTCATGAGAATAAAAAATTTCAAGCATTAGTTCTATAATTAAAGTGTTAGAATTGAAACTAAAGGTTAAGACTTCCAGATGTGCTAAAATTGATGCGTTGTCAACCTTACTATAGGTTTTAGAGGAGAGTTGAAGAATTTCCAAATTATTTTGGGTACATGTGATGTCCAATCGGTTCTCTTTAGAGTTATGGCATACTTGAAAAGAATCAAAATAGCCTTGCAATGGTTTGGAGTTTTTGAAGGCTAAGGGTATTTTGGTCATAATTAAAACTACATGAAAAATGAATTCAAAATATTCATAAAATTTCTCATAATTTGAATTTATTTGAATAAAATGATAATAAAACTAGAAATTTTGATTTTAAATGGCCAAAAGATAGAAGAATTTGGGTTGAAATTATAACGGTAATAGCAATGTACTTTGCTATTATGATTTTTAGAATTGGATTTTTTTTTTAAGTGGGATAATTCAATATGTATTAAAAAAAGAATGCTTTGGGAAATTGTTGTTTTGAAGTTCAAATTAGCTTTGATGTGCTTCTGGAATTTTTAAGATGAAAGGGGCCTTTGGGTCTCCTAACACCACATTTTCATTGTTCTTATTTTTTTATGTGCATGCAAGTCAATTTGTTCACTGTTTTTTAAAGATGTTTGGTCTCTTGGTTGTTGTTCTATGGTTTCACTTTTGAATGGTTTACTCAAAGTATTTTCAAGTATTGGAAGTGGTTAATGATTTTGCAGTCAAAGTTTTGTTTCATACTTTCATGCTTTTTAGGTTGGTGCTTGCTTTAAGTTCTATCAGATTCTTCTTGGCTTGAAATCGCTATATCTGCTTGATACTCTGCATCACATTTTGGTGAGTTTTGTTGGTGTCCCTAAGAGTTGTAATAAAATCACCCAGAATCATGATAAGCTGTTTATATCCAATCGTTTATATGATTTTTTTTTCTATGATGCTTTTTCTACACGAATAACTGTTATTACGATTGTTAGTTTGCCATGAAAATCTACTTAACTTGGGTTCCATACTTCGATCAAGATGTTTTTAATGATCGAAATATAGTTAATTTTGGCTTTTTTTCTCATGGTGTTGATATTTGTGGGCTCCTAAATTTTCACGTGCACCCCCTCTTAAATGAACCACATAATCTTAGATTAGTTAGCCAATAAAATAAACGAAGAAAAACAGATACTTGAGGTAAAAGAAAATTCTTAATTTTTAGATCATTCTCTTCAACTAAAGCTAACATGTTCTAACTTTTTAGAAATTTTCTTAATTTATCTTTTTATTTTATTTATTTGATGATAGCTTTAGAACTAATAATGAGCCATTTAAACTCACAACTATTTAATTTGGTTTTTTATTTCAATTCAGTATTTTGAATGAATTTCTTTTCCAAATGGCTATTGAAAAATATCATTTTAATTTTTTTTAATGTTTATTTTTTATTTAATATTTCCTATATATGTTGCTGAATTTTGAATTTTAAAATAAAACCATACTATTAAAAATCTTTATTGACATTGTTATTTTCAATATATCAAAATTATATATTTCATGGTGTACAATCGTTATATATTTATTAGTTATCATTTAAATAACATTGCTTCTTAGTTATTTATAACCAATTTATAAATTCCATTTAGACAAATATGATATATTTAATAACAAATTGTTCCATTGTGTTATATAAATATTTGTTTTCAACATTTTTTCTAAATGATTAACTTTTATTTAATATTTTTGATATTTTAATTTTTTTCAACATGTGTACACGGGTTATAAATGAAACATGCCATGATCTAAGAAAGACCTAAACCATCCTAAGAAAAAATGATTGATATTACCAAAATGGGCTCAAAACATATAATGAATATTTCGAGTTTACGATATCTAGTTTCAATTTTTATGAGCTTTTTCAGTTGTTATGTGTATATTAATTAACATGTTTATGTTATGTGACACTTGTTTTATTGAAAATACTATCTTTTATATATATATATGTTCTTACGCTATTACAACTTTCAATCAAACCTATCAAAATACACAGGAAACCTTGAACTAAATTCATCCACAAATCTTTCGCTTAATTTCTCACTCCACTTCTTCAAATGCCGTCGTCGGAAACGTACGAGACAGCCCCGCCGGAGTTCCAAACGTTATCTTCCCGGACTCATCCGCAAAGATATCCGAAATCGTCACCCAAATCAAAAGCTCCTTGCTCTTAACACCTGTTAGATTCCGCATCCGCCGATTCTCAATCAACGCCGTTACTTCGCTATCGTACGACACATTCCGACCAATCGCACGGAAGAGATGATTAGTCTTCTTCTTCCGGCGAACCCACACGAACCCTGTGGATTCGTTGTGGCCGATCTCCGTCACGTCAGTCATCGGAATCAGGCCTTTTGGTAGGGAGAATCTGGCGAGGACTTCTTGCGCTTTCTCTTTGCATAGATCTTCGCCGGTGAATACTTGGGCATCTTCACGCTGAGATCGGATCTGTTGTGACGCCATTTTGGGGGTTTTGAGAGGGAGAATTTGAGGGTTTGTTGGAGGGATGAACGGGTGTGGTAAAGTTGTGGGGTTTTGGGGGATTATAAATTGGGTGGCAAAAGGGTTTACGTGTTGAAATACTGTATTTTATATTGCCTTACAAAGTTGTTGTTTTTTTTTTTTTTTTTTTTTTTTGTTACTAAAATTATATTTTGTTGAAAGTTTTTTTAAAAAAATGATTTACTTTTTGATAAAATTCTTGAAGTGACAAAAGCATTTTAAGATTCATTTCATGTTGTATACGTCCAAGCAAGGATGGACCGATTCGAGGACAAGTGCCCATGAAGTCAATAAGTAGCCTTCTTTCAATGTTAAATCTTGTCCCCACAACATCTTTAAAAGATGAACAATCTTGTGTAAGCAAGCATATTTCAAAAGAAAAAATGAGATGTGCTTGTTCCTCAACGATTTACATGTTGTTCGTGTCATTCCCAAACGTTTTTCTCATTATTCCCGAGCTAGTTCTGTACCTTTCCTATGATGTCTCGCCCTTTGTCCTATGATTTCCGCCAAAACAAAGAGATCCACTATCTCTCAAATACGAATATTGGTAGATTGAAGTTGCATGAGTGTGTAACATGGTTGCTTTTTGGGTAGTATACTTACAAAAATCGTTAGGTACGAGTCTTCACAACCATATTTTAGAAGTTTCAGTTTTAATATAATGTAGATCAAGATCTTTATCGGCAATGAGATCATATGTCAGCTACCTAACATGTCATTCTTACCTTGTTTACCCCTCAATTGATGTTTTCTAGAAGCTGGAAGGTTGGCGGCCAACTCATGATGGCAAAAGGAATAAATTAACCGTATGTATAAAAGGGACTTTTTGATTCGCATAATGATTTTAAAAAGAGAATGGAACTGGAAAATGTTACGTGTTTGATTGACATGGAATGTAATGTGTTTTCTGTTTGGAAAGTAATTATGCATTACGACGAAAATACTCTTTTTAATTTTTTGTAACTTATTATTATTTTTAAAAAATATGACAAAACTTTCATTAGTTAAACTATTACCCACTTAAACTTATGGCGGCATGTTAACGTGGGGCGTAAGCAAGTATGTGTACATGTGGGTGTGGTTGCAAGAGTAGGGGTGGGTAGGTGAGTATGGGTATGATTGTGGATGTAGGGTGCAGGGTGGGTGCGTGGGTGTAGCAGGGATATGTATGTGGGTGTAGGTGTTAGGGTGGGGTGAGGGGCATAGGTGGGTGTGTGTAGGGGTAGGGTGTGGGTTTGGGGTTGTGGGTGGGATGGGGTGGGCATGTAGAGGTAGAGGTGTGGTGAGGTGGGTAGATTTATTGGTGGGTGAGTAGGTAGGATGTGGTGGGGTGTGTTGGATTAGGTGTCTACGCCAATAATTAAATTAGTATAATATTGAATTATTAGCAAAGTCCTTTTAGGTTGCTCTCAAACCTAGTAATTGAAAATGATGACTTTTAGAGAGAGAGACTAATTTATTAATTTATTATGTGATTAATAAATTAACTAAAAATCAAAATAAATAATTTATTAATATATTGTGAGAATAATATATTAATTAGAAATTGTATTTTAATTATAAATAAATTTGAATTAATTTTGGGATTAATTAGAATAATTAAAAGTGGAAAGACTAAAGGTGACAATGTTCAAAAGATTGAACATTGACCCATTCTAGAACCTCCTTAGGAGGGGGAAAGAATTCTAGAGGTCTTCTAGGGTTTCATTGGGCATTAAGGGTGTCCTAGATGCCTTATGGAGGAAGTTAAGGGATTATGGGTTATCTTAGGAAACTGTCTTATCCTTAGCTCCTTTGATCACCTATAAAAAAACCCTTCATGGGGTTCTAAATTTCGGTCATCCCTATTCCGCAAGGAAAAGCCGAAATTTTTACTTCCCCATCTCATCTCTCTTCAAGTCTCCTAGTTGCTAGGGTTAGGTATGAACCATCAGAGGCACGAGATGTTTGGTGCTTGCTTCCAAAGCTTTGAAGAAGGGTTTTTTATTTGCTTACTATAACAAATCAAAAGGTATGTAATCTTCCATTATGAATTTTGATTTCATTAGAGGTATTGCAATTTGATAATTTATTGTATGTTGCATTTGTGTGAAAGAAATAGATCCTTTTAGGTTGCATGTACCCTAATCATTTAATTGTTAAATGTTTTTCTGCTTAGAGCATTGTTGTTGTAACTTACATTTTCTATAAGTGGTATCAGAACATATGGTTGTCTTTCATCTAATTGCACATAAGTGAATCGAACAAACAAAGAAAAATTGTTTTTTTTTTGTGCATCTCACGACGTGAGAGTTGATGCTCACGACGTGAGATCTGGAAAATTCGATTTTTTTCGATTTTAATCTGCCTAATCTGTTATGCATTATCAATTTTTTGTAATTATCTATTTTATATCTGTCAAATCCGAATTTGCCTATATATTTGATAATTAAATAAAACCTTATAAATTAGGAAATAAATCCATTACTTAATTAATTATTTTAATTGATTAATACTATTAATTTTAAATGTGTAAATAATTAATTTAGATATTAATTAATTTTAATAATTAATGTCAAATCTCTAGTATTTTAAAATTTGTTTAGAATACACATTATACTATATATATATATATATATATATATATATATATCTATATATATATATATATATATATATATATCTATATCTATATATATATATATATATATATATATTATATGTATAAGACAAAGTCATTCGAATCGCTAGTACGCCTCATTCACGAAGTCATACTATAAAGGGAGTTTAAGGAAGCGGCCTATAAAATGACCGTCATTGGATATTCATTCTTACCCACTGCTCTCTTGTATGGTGGAGGGTCGTTAGCCGAACGGATTTGATATGACATAATCTCATTAATAAGTATAATGTTATAAAAGTAACTAAACCTTTTTAAAATCTCACTCTTAGTTACTTTAGAAAGAATGTGAAAAATATGTTAATCCATGAAAAACGTACATCATGATTTATATGTTGTTAGTGGAGCGTGTGTGGTTAACTGGCACACTGATAGGGACTATAAAGAGATATGATGGACATCTTGAAAATTATCATTGTTGATGGAGCGTGTGTGGTTAACCGGCACATCAATGTGAGATGGTAAATGACATCAAGATGCCAAACGGGTTTGCATGGTTATTCACATCTCATTTGTGATCCTCGACATCCTACCCACAAAAAGTGAGAACATAATTTGAGATTAAACATGTCATTGATAAGAATCAGTGAATCTCAAAAGATCTAGGAGTTTCATAAGATTGGAATTGGTAAAATTCTTACCTACCTAAAATAGTTTCGAATTTGATTACGGCATCCCTCTTCAAAGTTCAAATCAAAAATGTGGATCCTAACCTTAATTTAAATTTATGGGTTAATAATTAAGGACAAAAATCAACTAACTTGAATTCTCTTTTCTCCTAATTTTAGATGTCTTATGAAGATAGAAACGGTCTCCCTCATTCTTTTGGAAATGGTTTTCCTCTTCCTTATGAAAATGATCTTCCGCATTCTAATCAATGTGAAAATGTTTCTCTTCTTCGGAAAATGGTGGAACTGGACATCATGCTTCTTCAACTCTTCCACCTCCTCCTCCAGTGACCCACCCAACGTCGCATTTTCCTCGAGTTGAAAGATACGAAACTACTCAAGCCCTATTGGCATGTAGACATCAAGATGGAAATTTTGTGTGTGTGCATGTTCTAAAATGAAGTCGTACATTGACAGGTTGGATAGAATGAGTGTCGTTTTCCCAAGGGAGCAAGCCATTTATTTGGTTCTTCTTTCACTTCCAAAGTCATACAAACAGTTCATTGAGAACTTTCATATGATGAACATCGACGTGACCCTAATTAATCTGACCTAAATGTTGATTGTTGCTGATGCAGAAATGCTTAAGAGCACATCTGAAGCAGAGGTGCTTAATGGGTCTAATTCCAAAGATTCCATGGACATTGACAATAATGACAATTGTGGTCCAGAAAAGATTTTTCTTCCCAATGGAAATGGGTCGGCCAAAGCCAAACAGTTTGATCGTATGGTAAAGAGAAATGCTAGTTATGAGATAGTTTAATGTGTTAACCCCAAAAAGTTCATATGTTTCTATTGCCAATTGAAGGGAGATTGGTTGTGAAGCTGCCCAAAGTACCTGAAAGATCTCAGAGATAGTGAAGTCAAGTTGCGTGACACTACTTTAGGTACATCCTCTAACGCCCTGTTTCGAATCATTTCCTAATTTGGGGCCGTAACCCGGAGATCAATTATCATAAGGCTTGGGGCCTTGGGGAAAGTGAAATTTAGATCCCTTTGGATGTGGATAATGTAGATTAGGTGATCTGAGGGTTTGGTTTGTGTTTTGGAGCCCAAGGTAATAACTGTAAAGTGTTAGTTCGGGTCTTTTATGAATTTTGGATTTAATTCAGAAAGTTGTAAGGTTAATGAGAAGTTATGACCGTTTAAAGTTACAAGGATTTTCGGTTAAGCCGAGTACGTTCGGCGTACAGGGAGTACGCTAAGCGTACGAGGCTCAGATGATCGCGATGGACCACCTACGTATGCTGGCGTACAATCTGTACGTTGGGCATACGCCAAACAAACCAAAACCCTAGTTTTGGGTCTTGGACCCTATTTAAACACCTTAACTTATTGGGAACCCTGCTTATCATCATCCTCCGTCCTCTCTAACCCTAAATACGAAACTCTAGCCTCTATTTGTGAAATACTTTATTTTTTGGGTGCTTTGAAGTGTTCTTGGTGTATCTTGGAGAAGAAGGAGCTCTTTGGAGAGGTGTTGGTTGCCTTGGAGCTTGTATATCCAGACTTTGTTCACATTGATCTATCTTCTGGAGGTATAAAGTTTTGATCTTGATGGCTTCTCTTGTTGATCTAGTTTGGGTGGTAATTTGTCATGTTTTGGTCCCATGATTGTGGTTCTTTTGAGT